TGGAGCGGAGCACGGAGTGACCGCGGAACGTCAGCACGGACGCGTCACCCGGAAGGGGCGGGGCCCGGCGCGCTGGGGGCGGGGCCACGGCAGGACATTTGCATAAAAAATGGGCAGAGAGAAAACAGGGGAAAATTGGGGAAAAAAGAGCGAAATTCAGTCAAAAATTGGGGGAAAATTGGGGAAAATTGGGGGAAAATTGGGGGAAAATTGGGGGGAAAAAGAGAGAAATTCAGTCAAAAATTGGGGGAAAATTGGGGGAAAAAAGAGAGAAATTCAGTGAAAAATTGGGGGAAAATTGGGGAAAATTGGGGAAAAAATGAGCGAAATTCAGTCAAAAATTGGGGGAAAATTGGGGGAAAAAAGAGCGAAATTAAGTGAAAAATTGGGTAAAAAATGGGGAAAAGTTGGGGGAAAATTGGGGGGAAAATGAGTGAAATTCAGTGAAAAATTGGGTAAAAAATGGGGAAAATTGAGGGGAAATTGGAGAAAAATTGGAGAAAAATTGGGCAAAAAATGAGAGAAATTCAGACAAAAATTAGGAAAAAATTGGGGAAAGGTTGGGGAAAAATAGGGAAAAAACGAGAGAAATTCAGTCAAAAATTGGGGGAAAATTGGGGGAAAATTGGAGAAAAATTGGAGAAAAATTGGAGAAAAATTGGGGAAAAAATGAGCAAAATTCAGACAAAAGTTAGGAAAAAATTGGGGAAAGGTTGGGGGAAAATTGGGGTAAATGGGGGAAAAAATGGGGAAAAATTGGAGGAAAACTGGGGAAAAAATTGGGAAAAATTGGGAAAAATTGGGGAAAAATTGGGGGAAAATTGGGGAAAAAATGGGGAAAAAATGGGGAAAAAATGAGCGAAATTCAGTCAAAAATTGGGGAAAAAATTGGGGAAAATTGGGGAAAAATTGGGGAAAAATTGGGGAAAAAATGGGGAAAAAATGAGCGAAATTCAGTCAAAAATTGGGGAAAAAATTGGGGGAAAATTGGGGAAAAATTGGGGGAAAATTGGCTGAAAATTGGATAAAAATTGGGGGGAAATTTTTAACCCTTTCTTCCCCATGTTTAACCCTTTCTTCCCCATGTTTAACCCTTTCTTCCCCGTTTTCCCGCCGTTTTTAACCCTTTCTTCGCCGTTTCTTCGCCGTTTTTCGCCGTTTTTTCGCCGTTTCACCCCCTCCCGCTCCACACCAGTATAAACCAGTATAAACCAGTATAAACCAGTATAAACCAGTACCGCTGCGGGGCGCCCGCTGCCAGCGGTAGTCCCAGCTCTGCCGCGCCACCGCCCGGCGCGTCGCCGCCAGCGCCGCCTCCCCCGAGGGCCGCCGCAGGTCCCAGAGCTTGGCCGACTGGTCCTTGGAGTTGGACACCACGTAGCGACCGTCCCCCTGCCAGGAAAAACCAGGAAAAACCAGTAAAAACCAGTACGAACCAGTATAAACCAGTAGGAAAAAATTCCATTCGATTTGAGCCAATTTTGGCCGATTTTTACCCAATTTTTGCCCATTTTTCCCCTATTTTTGCCCATTTTGGACCCATTTTTCTTGTCCCACTCGCTCTCCCAACCACAAAATCCCAGTTTAAACCAGTATAAACCAGTATAAACCAGTATGAACCAGTAGGAAAAAATTCCATTCGATTTGAGCCATTTTAGCCCAATTTTTGCCTATTTTCCCCCTATTTTTTCCCATTTTGGACCCATTTTTCTTGTCCCACTTGCTCTCCCAGCCACAAAATCCCAGTTTAAACCAGTATAAACCAGTATAAACCAGTATAAACCAGTATGAACCAGTATAAACCAGTAGGAAAAAATTCCATTCGATTTGAGCCAATTTTGGCCAATTTTTGCCCATTTTTCCCCTATTTTTGCCCATTTTGGACCCATTTTCCTTGTCCCACTTGCTCTCCCAACCACGAAATCCCAGTTTAAACCAGTATAAACCAGTTCAAACCAGTATAAACCAGTAGGAAAAAATTCCATTCGATTTGAGCGATTTTTGGCTCATTTTTGCCCATTTTTCACCATTTTTTCCCATTTTTGACACATTTTTCTTGTCCCAGTTGCTCTCCCAGTTCAAACCAGTTCAAACCAGTTTGGGCCAGTTCAAACCAGTCCAAACCAGTCCAAAATCCCTTTTTTTTCCATTTTCACCATTTTTTAACTGTTTTTTGCCGATTTTTCACCGTTTTTTCCCCATTTCTCCCCATTTTCCCCCTCCCAGTCCCTCCCAGTATAAACCAGTACAAACCAGTAACCCCAATTCCAATTTCCCCATCTTTAACCATTTCTTTGCCATTTTTAACCCTTTTTAGCAATTTTTAACCCTTTCTCTGCCATTTTAACCCAAATTTTTGCCGTTTTCCCACCATTTCCCCCCGTTTTTTCCCCGTTTCTCCCCATTTTTCCCCTCCCAGTCCCTCCCAGTACAAACCAGTAACCCCAATTCCCATTTTCCCCATTTTTAACCCTTTCTCTGCCATTTTTAACCCTTTCCTCCCCACATTTCCCCCATTTTTACTCCATTCCCCATTTTTTCACCGTTTTTTCCCATTTTTTCACCATTTTTCAGCATTTTTCCCCATTTCTCCCCATTTTTCCCCTCCCAGTCCCTCCCAGTACAAACCAGTAACCCCAATCCCCATTTCCCCATTTTTAACCCCTTCTTTCCCCACTTTTAACCCTTTTTTACCCATTTTTAACCCTTTTTTAGCCATTTTTTCACTGTTTTTTGCAGTTTTTTCACCGTTTCTCCCCATTTTTTGCCTCCCAGTCCCTCCCAGTATAAACCAGTCCAAACCAGTAACCCCAATTCCCATTTCCCCCATTTTTAACCCTTTCTTTCCCCACTTTTAACCCTTTTTTACCCATTTTTAACCCTTTTTTAGCCATTTTTTCACAGTTTTTCACAGTTTTTTCACCGTTTCTCCCCGTTTCTCCCCATTTTTCCCCTCCCAGTACAAACCAGTAACCCAATTCCCATTTCCCCCATTTTTAACCCTTTCCTCCCCACATCCCCCCCATTTTCCCTTCATTTCCCCCATTTTCCCACCGTTTTTCGCCATTTTTTCGCCGTTTCTCCCCATTTCTCCCCATTTTTCCCCTCCCAGTACAAACCAGTACAAACCAGTAACCCCAATTCCCATTTCCCCCATTTTTAACCCTTTCTCTGCCATTTTTAACCCTTTCCTCCCCACATTCCCCATTTTTAACCCTTTTTCCCCATTTTTCCCCATTTCCCCCATTTTCCCACTGTTTCCCCCCATTTTTTCACCATTTTTCGCCGTTTTTCCCCCATTTCTCCCCATTTTTCCCCTCCCA